AGAAACAATGAGCAATTAAAAGAACATAAATCACTGTTCACGCATGGAATCCCTACGATCAGCTTATATCTCGACGAATTCTGGCTATTTCATCCCGAAATAGCCAGAAGTGAGAGATCTGTTTCGTCTGAAACGAGCGAACGATGCAAAACGATTTAGTCATGCAAGACGATCGTAGAAAAACTCCGAACGTAAAAGTCAAGCTAATATAGAGATCCAGTGCTCCTTTTGAGTTTCTGTAACCTGGTGTGGATTAATTTGTGCGTTCACGCAAATCGTGGACCAGTCTAGTCATGTGCAAACATTTTTGGCACGATTCGTCGGGAGCGATGTAATCCATCTTACTAGCCGACCTCGTCTTGTCTGTCTGAACGAGGCAATCGTATCGCCATCACCACTCACAAACACATGTTCAATGCTCTCCGAAACGTTCACGAATGAAGACGCAAGGAGTCGATCGGCAAAACGGTCTTTTCCGTACGCAGACCGATTTATCGTAACTTGTCCGATTGGTTTTTCGAATCGTATTGGACGTGTTTAAATAAGACGTAACGCAGCGAATGCGTCTTTTCGTATCCGATAACACGACTGGTTTTATATCTGATGGTTGGAAAAAGCCCATGGTATCTGTAGCAAAACATTATTTATCCCGTATTGGAGTGATTTTATTCCTAGTCGCGTGCACGCAAGGAAACGCAGTTATTTATGAAGCCATCCGGCACTCGAAAAACCGGTAACCGAGCCTCCGTTTGCGCGGAAACTTTGATAGCGATTTACGAGCGGCACGTGCTACAACAGAGAGATGCACCGAAACTACCGAGAGCATCCTGACTGAAAAAGAAAAGAGAGAAGAAAGTCTAAGAAAGCCTGTGGCTACGTTTACACCGTGCATTTAGGCCGCGACCTATACAATAGATGTCCTTGTTTATCCTGTATATTAAACAAACACATCTATCGTATAGGTCGCGGACTAAGCGCACGGTGTAAACGTAGCCTATGTGAAAAGATCGGGTTTGTGTTATTGAAAGATTATACAGTGCTCTTCACGAAGACGTAATGCGCGAGGAAACGACCAAGGAACGTTTTAAAAAACGAACGCACGGGATAGAGAGATCGTTTTTCTAACGGTGCCGTTACAACTATCATTATCCACGCAACAACGAAGGGAAAGCGCTGTATATATCGGAGACAGTGCGATGTGTCGGGGTAAAAATGCTTGCATTTCAGCCGCGACACGGGTAAATAAACGGTTGCTGACGTTGATAAACCAGGAGTTTCCGTCGTCTTACGCGACGTTAATGGCTAATGGTTCTCGAACAAGATGCACTCGATATTAAAATCAAAATAGAATTAATTATATCATTACATATTGACCGTTATTCATTGTTACTGAAGAAGGCCAAAAGTGTTAGCCGAAACGTTGATTACGTTAAATGTATTCGCGTAATTTTTGTGTAATTATTTTTAGTAAGAATAATATTAATTTAAAGAAATTTGCACACTAATTACTGCGGTGACTACTATTAGGACTCTCCAGTTCTTTTCACTTTTACATCAAATATCTGGATATTTGATACAGTATACAAGAAGAATGTATTAATTAGATATAAGTTAAACACATTAAAATATTATACGCTAATAATAACTTTTCTTTATATTACTAGTTTTATTTTAAATATTGAAAGCCAAAAATTATTTTTCTTTTTGTGTGAAAATAAGTCTTGTTTATGGTTAAAATTTTTTCATTTTCTGACAAAATTAATTTGTTCCTTTGTATGCTGGGAACTCTTTATTTACATCGCAAATAGCCATATTTTTGGATGCTGCGCGCAAAGGCGACGAGGCAAACAAAACTCTCGCCGACTCGTCGAGGAATTTGTTGAAAGAATTGCAAGCACGTTGAATTCGCCAGGACTCTTTTTCTTCTTTGGAAAAAATTCTTTTATGCGACACGTAATCTACCTGCGTTCTTCGTCACGCACGCAACTAAATTCGTACAAATATCCAAAACGTGCTGCGACCGAAAGCTTGTGACAAGGAAAGATGGGAGGTATAAAGAGAGAACAACATCGGCAAAAGTGACGCGAAGCTCTTGAAACGTTTAAGGCTATTCCTGGCGTCTGGCGTCGAGGCAGATGGCCGGTTGCGTACCGAAAGGAATCGATCTCCAGTTTAACTATCGGTCGGAGTCACAAACCGGAGTGGTTTAACGCAAATCGGAATGTTCGAACAACAAAAAATAATTTAGCTATAAGCAAAACAAAAATCATGATAACATCAAAATGGTGTTAAATAAATCCAAAATCATTAGTCAATCAAAAGTCACTTTTTGATCAGTCATGATTCATTTTACATAAACCATTTTTTCCACCTGATTGCAAATAATCGATTTTTGAAATTTTATTATGTAAAAATACGTATTCAAGGATTATTTATTTTCATGTCATCATTTTGACGCTATTATGACCTGTTGTTTTGCTATGTATCTAAGAAATCTAATCGATCCAATTTCAAAGACGGAGAAAATGTTTGATTGAATTAATGGAATTCTGATGGAAAATGAATAAAAAATCACCCCTCCAAAAATTTTTTTATAAGAACGAATTAATTTTGGGAGTACTCACGCAGAAAAAATGTCTAGTTGAATTAATTTAAATTCTAATGAAAAATGTACGATCCAGAATTTTGGTTAAGTCTACTAGATTTCTGATTAAATCTATTAAATATTGGTTATTTCAATTAGAATTGTAAATTCATTTTAATTAGAATTCTGGATCGTTCCTTTTCCACGAGAATTCTAGTTAATTAAACCAAAAATTTTTTTCTATGCACGGATTACGTCTCGGTGCGCGTTCCATGCATAGTGACCTTCGCGCACCGGATTACAGCCACGTGCCCCGCATCTGTTGCTGTCTTCCGAAAAAGAGCGAAGCGAAAGCGTCCACGACAACGAGCGACAATATAAACTCGATCGATTTCCGTCGAGAGTTCTTCGCAGGGCACAACGAATCGTTTGTGCCTTGAGGATGAGCTCGGCGCGAGGATGTTTAAAGATTCGCGAAAAGAACGAGACCCTCCGCGTGAGTCTCTTGATTGAATTAAATCCCCTGTCTTCCTGGCGCGTCTGGAATAACTCGGGAAGCAGATTGAAACAGAAGGGAGAAAAATCTCACCAATTATCGCTACGATCGAAACGAGATTGATGCGAATCAATGCGATCTTGTATTAATTCTTAACTGACGTCGTAAAGAAATGTTATGTTTCTAATATGGATCCATTGGATCCTTATTTTTGAAAAGCCAATAATAAAATGAAACTCATTTTAATCTTGAAAACATTTTTATTATATCTTTTTGATATTTAGACTCTCATTTACCTATTTTTAATCAAAATTATAATAATACGATTTATTAATAAAAACTGAAAATTAGTATCGCATTGATCCTTATTTAAAACATGTTAATAGACTTTGATAGACGTTGAAAAATTTGATACAATGGACGATGGCAGTTGAGGGTTAATAATCGAAATTTCAATATTGCGCTATCTTAGAACTCTGTCCCGTAACGATGATGAAGACGCGCTTCGTAGTGCTATTAGCAATCGTAATCACAGGACGATTCACCGAGGAAGAGATGAGACAGTGAGAGAAGTTCGCGGGGGGGATAGCTCTAAAAATAGTGTACGACGCATTCCGGGGTCGGAGGGAAAGGCTCCAGATGGAACCTCGGAAGGGACAGTGTCGCGATTCACTTCTGGCTGCCTTCCAAATGGCGACACTCCGAGGTCCGGCCGGTCGGCCTCATGAATGAGTCGCGCAGGAAAATGAGTTTCCTTGATCAGACCGACGCGAATATCGCGGGATAGGCAGACCGGACAGACTCGAGCCAAGCCTCGTGTCTCATTTTGCTATCTTTTGCTCTTTCTCTCTCGTTAGACGCGGAACATCCCTGTCTGACTTCCGCAAATTCTCGCGACACGACGGCGATTATTATAGATCGTCGCGTCGAGGAGCCGAATTGATGTGATAGACGATGCAACAGAAAATGAGCAAATATATTGATGATCAAGTTAAATTATAAGATGCGACTTAACATCCACATTTAATGAATATTTTTAGTAATGACCCTCTTGATTATAAGATGTAGTAGCATCATTTATATAATATGCTTACCAGCCTTAATGTACCTACTAAATTGATTATCAATTTAATAATAGAATATTATGATATTTCAAACTAAATGTTATTAGATATTATATTACTAGACTTATTTATTATATTAAAATTATTTTATTCATCACTGAGAGAAAAATTTTTTATATTTGTGACTAATTATTACTGCCATAATGTTAATAATAATAACTATATGTCTAGTTCTATCAACAAATACATATAATTGGTAAATGACTTAATTATAGCTATTATTACTATAAAAATGCAATTATTATAATATAATTTTTCTCTTAGCGACTCTGTGATTGATTTTCGAAGAAAGTTTCCAAAACTTTTGGAATCGCTCAAGTTATCAACGGATAAAAAAACCTCCTTTCTTTGACAATGGCTAGAGATAATAAATAAATATGTTGAGTTAAATGAGAATTACAATGTAATGTTAAGGACAATAGATGAAATAAAAGAATTTTAGCATAGGTTCCTTAGAACTTTAAAAACATTCCACATATTTACTATTTTCATTTGAACAACGCTGTAACGAATCGAGTTTTATTTTTCTTGCGTAGGAGGTAGAGACACCAATTGACTTTAGAGGCTCGTTCAATAACCATTCAAAACTACAATCTGAAGAATAAATCGCGAGTTTCGCTTCGCGGAAATCGCATACAAAGAAAGGCGGAATAACTTACCGTTCTCTTTGCCTTATCGTTAACATCGCGTCACGCTGTACATTGCGATGTACCCGAGGGATACAGATTGGACGTGTATTCGTTGGCATGGTATATTCAAACGACGCATAATAAAATGCAGAATGTTTACGTTGCAGATGCAATTAATCCTGACGTTGTGGTATCCGTGGGCGAGAAGCTCAATCTGCGTTGCCAGCAAAACTTTAACTTCGAGACGACGTGGTATAAGGACGATGAAGCCTTCCATAAATCGACCAGCAGAATCCGTATAAACAAGCAGTCTTTGAAGTTCAAATTCGTTGAGATGGAGGACACTGGCGTCTACAGCTGTAGATTGAAGTCGAACGAAACCATCGAATGGAGAAACGTGACCGTACGCATCGAGAACCTGCAGAACGACGGCTTCCAGAACGAAGGCGAAGACAAGAGCGCGATGTATCGGAAGACGGGGATAACGATCTCGAGATGGAAACCAGAAGTGAGTTATCCGACAACTCTCACTCACAAATCTTAATTAATCTGTGAATAATCACTTGGGATGATTTTTATATCCCAGCGGCAAGAAAATAAAGCACAGTCACACTCAGTCACACTGAAGGAAAAGATTGACTGAATATGGCATTTTTAATTGGTTGCAGCAGCTAATTTTGGGTTGCGTTAGTCTATCGAAATCCTATACTGATAAATCAAAAATTGGCTGCTGCAACTAAAAATTGGACGTTGCAGCCAATTAAAAATGCGCTACGCCATATTTTACCATCTAATTCGCTGCAGCAGCCAATCTTTTTTTTCAGTGCACAATAGTTTTTTTATTGCTCGAGAATCCATACCGATTTTTTTTATTTCTCTTACATTTGTTTAGACAATGTTTAGTAAATCTATATTAAAAGAAAAGTGTTGGATATTTATAATTATAATTGCATGATATAATGATAAGGAACTCCATTTTTATAATTACTACTGCTGTAATGTTAATAATAACTTAATAACAATCATATTTATAGTTTTATATAAAAAAATAAGTAGTTGATACACTGAAAATAATTAGAAATTATAGAGTCGAAACATTTTTCTCTCAGTATATAATAATTTCTAATTTTAATAAATTATAGATCAATCAATATTATACGACATATAATTGATAACAGTAACTTTTAATTGAAGTGTAAAAATAACCCTAAGTAATCATTTACATAAAACTAAATAATTAAAATAAACAAAAATGAACTCCTGACAAATCGAATTAAAAACAAATATATTCACCCTAAGTAATCATTTACACAAAACTAAATAACTGTTCCTGGATTAAACATGGCATTAACTATCAAATTGAATCATGATATCAAATACGTGCGCTGTACGCAATAATCTCTTTCGCAGACTTGCCCGAGACACGATCGTTGCACTTGGACAGCGAAAAGTTGGACGTGGACCTGGACGAGAAGAGCGAGAGCTACGCGGAGGACGATCACAACCACAAGGTTCCGGAGAGTCCACCTTCCTTTAACAAGACCGACGAGATGCACACATTGGTAGTGAAGCCCGCTGGAAGCATGATGCGATTAAAATGCCCGAGCGTGGGCAATCCTAGGCCAAACATCACGTGGTTGAAGAACAACGAGGAACCAAAGCGGGATATTGGTTCTGTGAGCAAAACCAAATGGACCCTGAGATTGGAGGATCTCGTTACCAAGGATAGCGGCAATTACACGTGCATCGTGTGCAATTATCTGGGATGCATCAACTATACCTTCAAGGTCGACATTATCGGTGAGTAGATGCTATGATTTTCCATGGACTCCGCTTGTAAGTTTGGTCGCTTTCTTGCCCATAAAATAATTTTGCGTCACGTCCTCGTTGTTACGTGAACACACGACTCGTCGTACGCGAACTGAAGATCTACTAACGAAACCACAGAGCGTTTCCCGCATAAGCCGTACATCAACGTGGACTTCCCGAAGAACGTGACCGCTCTGGTCAACAGTACCGCGATCTTCAGATGCCCCATTGTCTCCGATCTTGAACCGTTTATACAGTGGATTAAAGTCGCCAAAAACCCTGATGATCAAGAGGACTCATCACCCAATGGGACTGTGCTACAGGTACATCCACCATTTATTGCGATGATGGTGGTGAAGGGTCCTGGGTCCTGACTTTTTGTTTACATCTTAATATTTTTTTCTCTAAAAATTTCGTTTCGTTAATTAATGTAATGGTTCGTTAATATGCTAACTATCAATGGTGTAGGGTGAACTAATTATTTATTCTCAAATTTTTTTCAAAATATCAAATGCCACAACATTTTTACAGGTTTGGACGAAGAAGACTTTCTGTCCTAATCGTGATTAACAAAACTTGATTATTTCATTTTGCAGCACACGTCGCTTAGGAAATATCTTCACGGTTATGGGTTTTCTTATTATTCTTAGGTTCTTATTATTCTTATAATTTTTTACTTTTTACTTTATTTTATTCTAGTCTATTTCATAGAAGTCAAAACAGGACACTGACACCATAAACAAAGAATTAAACGAGATGTTTAATGAATATTATAAATACAGTATATTATATGATTTCTTTTATTTTATATGTAAATAATAAATTTATCTACATTTGACAATTTAGCAAATAGACCTGGTTCGTTTGTTTTTTCTATATTACAAACCGTTATTTTCACTTTTTTATTTTTATATTTATTAAGTGTAAAAATAATAACATTTCAGGTGACTTGGATACACAACCGAATTTTCTATTTCTATATTTTTTGCTGCACCTTCTCTATGTGTCTGATTCTAGCTAAATATTAGTTTAAACGGTGGTTGGGTTTCTTTTTCTCTGTAGAGACTGTACCACATCGACCGATCCTGACAATCGCACCACGAAATACCACGGTACTTATAGGAGGCAACACTAGTATGATCTGCCGGGTTTTATCCGATGCACATCGTCATCTCGAATGGTATCACGGTTATCATACTTCTCTCGACACCGTCAACATGACCAATCAAAGCTTACGGGTGGAGGTCAAGGTGGGCGCCGCTTGCATGCAAACTTACAATCTTTTCTTTTAATCGCTTTCAATCGCTTCATCGCTTTGAAATCTTACAAATGTCCCTAATTAAATGTCTCCATTCTGTCTTAACGTTTATCAAAGAAGCAAAGGAAAATGAGTTAGGATTATTTTTTAACTTGAAATGAAAAAGTTTCGAGATGTACAAATTATGTATCATATAAAGGGCTACTTAAGTAGAATCGATTGATGCATCGCCATAGAGTATTTTCGTTCTTTTCGGGAGAGATTTTTTTATTTTAACCGAAAAATAGACATTACTCAACATTCTTTTTTAAATGTGTGCTTATGTATTAGTATAAATCTTGTATGATCTATCCGATAAATTCTATCGGGCACACGATTAATGGCCTTTCATTCAATATAGGTAGGAACGAACGCCGAAGACCCGGAAGAGCTAAAGTTATATAACGTTACTGAAAAGGACGAGGGATGGTACACATGTATTGCCCAGAACACTTTAGGAGAAACATTTAGCAGCGCTTATCTACGTGTAGTCGAAAGTGAGTATATAATTTAATTTTACTTGAAGTCATTGAGTATTTTCATTCATACGAACAAAGTATTTTAAAATGAAATGCAAATGCTAAATAAGCTACATCAATGTTGTAAAATTTTTCAGCGCTGGACGAACAGAAAGTACCGTTAGCTGCGAAGCCGCATATCTTGATAAACATTCTGGCGGCAATTCTGTGCGTGTTCTTCGCCGTGGGTGTCGTCGTTGTGATATACATTTTCCATCGATTGAAACGCGAGAAGATGAAGAAGTTGCTTGCGATAGAAACAGCGCGTGCGGCGGTCGTGACGCAATGGACCAAGAAGGTAATCGTGGAGAAGCAGAAATTGGTGAACGCGCAGAACGAGGAGGAACTGTTGATGCCGGTAGTAAAGATCGAGAAACAAAAGTCCACCGTTGTCACCGATGACAATACTACCGACAACGTGTTCGAGTACGAGATACCGTTGGACAACGGTTGGGAAGTATCGAGGGAATATCTCACGCTTGGCAATACACTGGGCGAAGGAGCCTTCGGCAAGGTTGTCAGGGCTGAGATAAACATCGGTAAATCCGGAATACCCAACGTCGTAGCGGTAAAAATGTTGAAAGGTGAGCAAATAAAAACATGCAACCACGATACCTGGAAGATATACCTACTTGTATATATGTATATATAAATATTTTATCTATATATATATATAGACATGTATAAGATATATGTATATATATATATGTATATATCTTATATTCTGTACACGTCTATAATACATAGATGAAAAATTTGTGTTAAATCAACATGTTCCAAAAAATTCACAGATTTTTGTATTAATTTAACACAAGATGAATATGCTAGGAAATAACAGAATTATGTAAAATTAGCACAAAAAAAGTAACACTGACACAATTTGTTTACAAATTGTGAAAGCGTATTCCTTTAATAAAATTAACATTTATAATGTGTTAAATTAACACATTTTATTCATTTCGTTTTAGAATTTACGTTTTAAAAAACGTAAATTATTATATTATTTGTTCACTTATAAATTATGTTATTTTAACACTAAAAAAATGTTAAATATTAATTTAACGTAAGATATTCACATAACACTCGGATATATTAAAAATTTAACACAATAATTTTAACAGGTTTCAACACAAATACAAAATGTTTTCTACTGTATATTTTTGTTCTCAGAGGGCCACACAGATACGGACATGGTAGATTTAGTTTCGGAGATGGAAGTGATGAAGATAATTGGCAAGCACGTGAACATCATCAATCTGCTGGGTGCCTGTTCTCAGAACGGTCCTTTATACGTCATAGTGGAGTTCGCTCCTCACGGCAATCTACGAGACTTCCTCCGAGAGCACAGGCCCTCTTTGGGATACGAACCGGCTATCGGACAGGAGTTGAAGGAGCGGAAGACCCTCACGCAAAAAGATCTGGTCTCGTTCGCGTACCAAGTGGCGCGTGGGATGGAGTACCTGTCTAGTAAGAGGTGTATACATAGGGATTTAGCGGCTAGAAACGTCCTCGTCAGCGATGAATATGTGTTGAAGATCGCTGACTTTGGTCTCGCCAGAGATCTTCATTCCAACGATTACTATAGGAAGAAAACAGATGGACGGTTGCCGGTGAAATGGATGGCCCCAGAGGCTCTCTTTCATCGTGTTTACACCACTCAATCCGACGTGTGAGTATCCAGGGATAATAATTCTTTCATTTAATAGAAAAAAATTTATTTAATTATTCCGGCTTACGTCACATTTTTTTCATGTTTTTTAAATCTCTTAACACTTGTCTTACCGAACGATTATTGACCATTTCTACTTTATACACTATATATAGATTGATATTATATTTTTGTATAAAAAGGATAAGTTTCTAAAATGTTTGGACTTTTTAATAATTATGTCCTTTACACTGATAAAATATTTGGTTTTTCATCACGTTTTTAACTTTCACTTTTTAGCAATTTATTCGCTTGGTCTTTTTAACGAATATAGGAAACGTTGGTACTTCTAGTGTTAACATATTTTATTGTGATTTCTTCTAGATGGTCGTACGGGATCCTGTTGTGGGAAATCATGACCCTGGGTGGCACGCCTTACCCATCCGTTCCGTCGGTGGAGAAATTATTCCAACTGCTTAGAACGGGTCATCGAATGGAGAAACCGCCCTGCTGCTCGATCGAAATGTAAGGCATGCCTTTATGAGCGATGTGACTACATAATGCATTCTCGATATACGATTCATCTTTATATATTTTATCTCGATTTCTTACTTATAGATACATGCTCATGAGAGACTGTTGGAGTTATCATCCTAGTGAACGACCGACATTTGTCGAACTGGTTGAGGATCTCGACAGAATATTAACGATAACAGCGAACGAAGTGAGTCGTGGTATTCATATGATGATAAATAAGCAGGAGAATTTTTGTAGTAGTAGCAGTCCTGGTTTATACATACTTTTTCGACGTTAGGAATATCTGGATCTCGGCCTGCCCCAGTTGGATACGCCTCCGTCCAGCCAAGAATCCAGCGAGACAGAAGAGGAAGGCGAAGAAAAATTTCCATATCTACTATGAGTCGTATACTCGCGAAGAATATCACTTAAATCTTGTGTAGACGAGGTACTTGAGATAACTCAGACTCGTCAACTCGCAAACATAATAAACTCAGCGAAAGCGAACGAAACGGACACGATAGGAAATAAACAGAATAGAAATTTTAGCGAGAGATCACGCGGATAATAGACTGAAACAAGCGAACACGCCAAATAAAATAAATCAGTATTGAACTGTATAGGATTAAGGAGAATGCGTTAATCGTCGTAAAAAGAAATAGTGTATGTCATACATCAAGTAATCGCGCATCGACAAAACATTCTATGATTGTTGCTACTGTTTCTCACAAATTGACATACGCTAGGTTTAGGAAACTTCGATTAAGGCAAAAAAAGAGGACGAGCGACGAGCAGAAAACTGGAAGGACACTATCTTTTGCTACGGCCTTAAATACAAGAAGCGGATTTGTGTATAGCGCTTATACAGATCTTACAAGTATTTATAGATGTAATAATTGTGCCATGAATCAGTGCCTTGCGGACACATATCGGACGACAATAAATGAAGGGATAAGTTATCACGATGATGATATTCGTCTATGTGTTGGTAGATCACATAAATATTAAACGGTCAACGAATATCAAACAAAATCATGATATTGTGTTTTGTAACTAGTCAACTGTGGAAATTGTATGTTTTCTTGTATTATAGTAGCTGATAGATTTTTAGCGTTTTCACGCGGCTAACATTAACGAATGACGAACCGTAGATTTTGTATGTGGCGAACAAGTTCTGTAATAATATTTTGTAAAAAAAAAGAAAAGAAGACTTGGACACACAACCCATATAGTACAGAGCAATCTAGCAACATTGTAGCAACGTTACTACAACATTAGTCGAATGTTGCAATGTTGAATAGAATGTACTGTGAGGTAAGAGATTAGAAGCGAGAAAAAACGATAATTTCGAGAAAAAAGTCCAATCCATCGCTATAAGTCTTGTAGTTGTATCAGTATCAATCGCGATACGTGTATAAATGGGAGAAAGGCGCTTAGAGATAGATAATTTATTTCTTGTATATCAATGTGTCTCAAGTATACCCAGTAAGCAAACCGTCCGAAATATAGCAGTAAAAAATTCATTTAGAAATTGCTAGCAAATTGGCATTACTTGTTACTCATTATATAAGTGCATATTTTACAGACATAATTTGGCAGTAGATTGGCGGCAAAAACAAAAAGCAAAATTTAGATTCTGCTGTTGTTTCGTAGCTAATATATTAAAACAGTGCAGTGACCGTATGATTTCAATCAATCAATCTGCCACAGTATTTTATTGATAAATATTGCTATACTTCTGCCAGCATTCTACCAACAGCATTGTAAATGCCAGATGTTGCACCAAATTTCTTCTTCTTTTTGTTGAGAAATTTGTAACGGATAATTTGTAGAATCTGTTTTTAAGAGTTGACTGCTGGGTATATATATATGTGTACATTTCTTCAGGATCTTTCTTTTTTCTTACGTAATTTTAAAATACATTTCACTTGAGCGACCCTTTTGTAAAAAGTGACAACAATCGATTTACGTATTAGAAAGTAACTTTTTAATTTTTGTGACTTGTACATATAGGCGTTTATTTAAAGATTATTTGTTATTTGAAAGTAGAGAATAAACACAGGTAAATTAGTATTTACCTGAGATTTTACATAGATTTTATCTATAAACCATGTAAAGGAATCACGATACGAGTTTCATCTCGAATAAATCGATCGAACTGTCAAAATAAAGTAACCCTTCGTACCTTCATTACTTCCTGAGTTTTCCCGCCAAAAAAGCATTGAACAGCCTTTTGATATTCACGTGTTGCGCGTTATAATATTTATTTTCCCTATAATTAATCTAAAAATAATAATTAATTCAAAAATATAAATGAAAACAGGATAAACATAAGCAGTTTTCATTATTGTAATATATAAAATTCGCAGACAGATCCTACAATTTAAAATTGTATAGATAAAGAAAAAATTACATATTTGCTACAAAATAAAATTGCACAAAGAGCAGCTAGAAGTCATAAGTACTAATCATAAGTAAATGAAGTAAGTTAACAAATTATACAAACTATGCAAATAGTCAAATACACTCCCCCAAAAAATTAGGAAATCACTTAAGGCTCCGAATAGTCACAACAGCTAGACGTTGAATGGTGACGTCAGAAGCGAGAAATGAAACGTTAACTTTGTTACGTCAGTTACGTGCCATTTGCAAGTACAAACAATTTGGACAAAATGATGAGATCGTTTTAAAACAATTGTAAAAATGAACGAAAGCTATTATGATGAAATAAGTGCAATAGAATTTGTAAATGCTATAGTATGTTGAAATGATAAGCTGGATACACCATATTAATAAAAATTACAAATGAACTTTGAGGATAGTAAGAATAATGTGGAATAAGATAATCATATAAAAAAGTTTATTATAATTAAAAGATATTTATTTTACGCTATAATAATATGAAATACTACTAATACAAGTATCTGAAATACGAGAACATAATAAGATTATTAACAATATGAGATAATTAATAATATAATACAATTGACACACAAAAACGAACAAAATTGCTCGTTATTGGAGACAAAACAGGAAAAATAAAAAACTAACATTATATTTTTGCATCAATTTAATAGTTATTCAAATTAAATTAAGAATCACTTATAAACTCAAAATGACGTATATGACTATTAATTTCTGAACATCGTGTTTATATCTTGTAAAGAACTTTTGAAAATTGTAATTCAGTTAAAGAGAGTATGGTCTCATTTCGTCTCATTTTCTCTAAATGATCGGACAACTAAAACAAAAAATTTAGATGTTTACATCTAACAAATAGTTTATTATCATCATTCCATACAGATAGAAATTGCACATTACCGTGCAAGAATTGATCGCTTTTCAAAAAGTGCAAAATAAAATGCAAGCTTACAGACATACACGAAAAAATATAGTGCAAGCTTGCAGAAATACATATATATGTGTATTATATTGCATACACTAGTCATTAGTAAGCTTTCTAAGAAAAAAACTGATAAATAAGTATAGAATTTGGATTAGCTTTACTTACCTTCCTAAGATCAGTTTCAGAATATATATGATTAATAATATTACCTAGTGCTGTTAGTATGTTGATTTCTCTGTAAAACCAATTCACACAATTACAATTTCATTTTATAATTAATTATTGTTAAATGTATTATATCCATATATTTATTTATTTAAAAAATGTTCTTACTTAGGTTTCATATTCTTTAAGCTTTTCTAAGATCCGCTCAAGGGTGTGATATTGGTCAGCAAGTTTAGTACTAATTGAATGAAAAATGTGTATATAAGTCCGAGTGTAAGACTCAATTTCTTGTCTTTTGCCTTGTATGAACTGTTCCATAAATGATAAACTACTATTTACATTTAAACCAGAACAAACTAAGTACGGTAACAACTCTCTGTTGTTTGATTGAGAGTTTTTAAATCATCTTTCTATTAAATTGAACCACATAAAATGACCAACTGATAAATCTTTACAGTATGTCCACTGTTTCCACCCTGGTAAAAGTCTAGAATTAAAAAAAAAACAAAAACACGTTAAAAAGAAATACTTATTAGGTTTTATGTTAATGGAAGTTTGTCAAGATTCGAAACGTAAAAATTATAATTATGAAACAATCGTCTATTTAGAAAAATATTGTAGTAATTTCGCGAATTAAATTATTTCGATGCTCAATTCAGCGAAATTACTACAGTGGTTTAATTGTGTTTAGTCCGGAAATATTTCGGTACACAGTTCGTTATACTACAATTGAGGGGATGGACGGAATAAAGGCACAATTCTACTTCGGCCCTTTTTCTAGCAATTAGCTTTTTCATGTAATATTGATCGTAATAGAAAAGTATTGTAACATGTAACTTCTTAAAGGCATTACATAAATTCATTCGATACTGTACTCATTTGTGTATAATAAAAAAGTAGCAAGTTATTTTAATTTTTATTAATATCAAGATTTTACAATTAGGCCTTTATTCCACCCATCTCCTTAATTGTGGTATATATGTCAAGTACATACATATCATATTTAGTAATTCAAGATTGAATTATTTAAAGCATTTTAAGATCTAGCTTCGACCATATAGGACTCTTATTTATCGGTTAAATCTTATTGATTTAAATTTATTTCGATATTAAATGTGTCTCGTTAAATATCTAATTTTTAAATTTATTTTGAAAGAATAATGAATTTTACCTGTTTCCGATAAAGCGCAATTATTGTTTATTATTTTATTTATTCTTTTCAATTATAAATGAAAATGGATTTTCAATTATATGAAAATATATAGTTATATATAAATTTCGAAGTTATGAATGGTATAACCCTATAAGCGCATAATATTATTTAATATTAAATAATATTTTAGGCATATTCTTCAGAATATTAAATATAACATTTTAATAATATTTTACTAAAATTATATAATATTAAATAATATTCCTGAAATATTAATGGATGGTTATATG